ACGTCAGTCTCCGCTTATCGATATCGTGGGCTAATTAATGCACAAGTGCATGAAGCACGAAGATAGAATATGACTAGGAAATTCAGGCTTACATAATTATAATCTTTTTTCTTTGCAATACATAAAAATTGCTGGAAATATTTTTTAAGGTCATTAAAAATGTGACCCATCTCCAATGTGTTCATTGGGAATTTTATAAGAAGGTTTTCATGACACTTCTTTGATTTGTGACAATTATAATAAAATATGACACTTGAGAGAAACTGTAGTGCAATTCCTCCCTAATATTAAAAAATTAGACGTTTTGGTTTGGTGTGAATTCGTTCTATTCAAATTTGACTAACATGAGCATTGTGTGGAGGTTTCTTTCCTGACTCGCAATTCATTACTTCACACATATTTTTCTCCAATCCTCGTACATTGATATAATCCATTCGGTTATTCATTTTAAAATATTCTGGTTGATAAGAGAATTTTTTTATTTACATTTTAATGTCTACCTAACTAATCAATGGTAAATTGCGTGGAAGATTGTTTGTGCATTTGGTTGTGTGCTCGTATGCTCTAAGCCTGGCACCATGAACATGTCTGAATATTACCGGGTGCTGATATTTCATGTTCAGAGTGGCAAAATGGAGCCACTGAAAAGTGGGAGAGAAGTGGGTTTTTGACATGGATTTATTATGATGGAATTTGGGTCGACGGGATTTATCATATCTTAATTATTCAGAATGACTGCATTCTGAGTTGCAAAAACAATTAATCTTGAGGTCGACAAGGAATCGGACAAACTTGCGAACGAGGCTAGAAAAAAAAATCAAATAAGTGCCTGTAAAGACCGTTTTTAACTGTTATTCAATTATCTTTCCTGCAATATAAAGAGTTGATGGGAAATGCCATGAAATTCGGTCGCAGAACCATAAGGGAGTGGCTTAAAATAATATTCAAAACGAAAAAAATGCGTCTTCATAAATTATCCTGAACAAATTTCCTAATTCATATTTAACACAATTTTTTTATTGTTTTATGCAGCATTTGAAGGTTCCTATTTTGAATTTTTAAGGTTTAAATTTTGTTAATATAATCTTTATGAACTCATGCAAGGACATAACTTTTATAGGTTTTGAATTTTGATGCAATCATGTCCTGCAAACTGCATCAAATTACCTTTTTCAGTCCCTTGCCTGATTAAATTTCGAATTTTGAAATGTAATTGCATTCATGTTGCAGCCTTCAGACATAATCCGACTAATGAACTCTAAGTCACCTAGTTGGGCAGTGTTTTGCATGAAGTTTAAATTAATTTAGATGAAAAAATATTTTTAAGCATTCTACTTAAGCGCTATGTACTTCAAGATTTTTTCTCGTATATTATTTCATTATTGAAAGCTAATACAAATGGTTAACTTTATTATTTCCAATAACACATTGACTGCGATCAAACGCATCTTATAAATGACGATAATCATGCATGAAGATTATCGCACACGACTATACACATGCATAACGGTTATCATACAGCACGAATTACATACATGCCGGTTATCATATTTGACGGTTGTCATACACGACGCTTGTCATTCATTTCGGTTATCATGCATGAAGGTTATCAAAAACATCGTTTGTCATACATGACGGCTATCAAACACCACGGTTATCATGCACGACGGTTATCATAAGTGACGGTAACCGTCACGATAGTTATCAAGCATGTAGGTCATCATGCATCACGGTTATCATACACGACGATTATCTTACACGAAGAATATCATACATGCCCTTTATCATACTTGCCGGTTTTCATACATGGCGGTTATCATTTATGACGGTTATCGTACATGACGGTTATCAAATACTACGGTTATCATAAACGATGGTTTTCAAGTACGGCGGTTTTCTTGCGTCATGGTTAGCATGCCTTACGGCTTTACAGTTGCCTTATCAGAATAAGAAAAAACATTTATCAATATGCAAAATGCGATCAGGATTCCAGTTTCCAAAATGAATTTAATCATTAGGATGGAATAGTCCATTAATTATGGTAATCTGTCTGTTTAAATAATAGTATTTTTTTTCTACTACATTCCTGATAAAAATTGGCTGCGTGGGGCTGCGGATGGTAACCGTTTACACAGCGTGGGGCTGCGGATGGTAACCGTTTGAACAGCGTGGGGCTGCGGATGGTAACCGTTTACACAGATGGTAACCGTTTAAACAGCATGGGGCTGCGGATAGTAACTGTTTAAAAAGCGTGGGGCTGCGGATGGTAACCGTTTAAACAGCGTGGGGCTGCGGATGGTAACCGTTTAAACAGCGTGGGGCTGCGGATGGTAACCGTTTTAACAGCGTGGGGCTGCGGATAGTAACCGTTTAAACAGAGTGGGGCTGCGGATAGTAACCGTTTAAACAGCGTGGGGCTGCAGATGGTAACCGTTTAAACAGCGTGGGGCTGCGGATGGTAACCGTTTTAACAGCGTGGGGCTGCGGATAGTAACCGTTTAAACAGAGTGGGGCTGCTGATGGTAACCGTTTAAACAGCGTGGGGCTGCTGATGGTAACCGTTTAAACAGCGTGGGGCTGCTGATGGTAACCGTTTAAACAGCGTGACTGCCTAAACTAAATTCGCTCCAGTTACTTCGTTTAAAACTCGTATTAGGTGTTAAAATATCATTTAAAATAAATACCGAATTTAACAAATAAATTCAGGGAAAATAACAAGCGTTTTAGGGAGTCCACTAATATATTCAACTTTACAAAAATATTCACTGTCGTACAGCAAATATTGATAAATTATCAGTCCACGAATAGTCACATCCACTTTCACCTATCATTTTAATTCAAGGGGGAAATATTGAAAATTAATAATGATTGACTTACATTTCATAACTAAATGAATATAATCCTCAGAAATATTCTCCTGTTGATATATAGATACAAGACAGTGGATCTATCAATGAATCGAAGATTGTCTAATTTTATGAAGTGAGAATATTTCTTTAATTTTAATATCCGATATTTTCCCGCATTAGGTTTTAGTTCATTATATTGAGCATTATTGTCATGGAGGGGCAATAACTACATGTGTACAATTACTGTGATTTTGATGAGAATAAAAACTTATCATTATCAGAGTCCCACGTTAGAATTTTTCTTGATCAGTATTAACTCGTATATCGGTCACCAATTTAATAATTTACAATCAATTATAAATTAAATAAGGTCTCGCTGTCCAAAAAGTGACACACTTTATGCACGCCCTTAATTAGGGCGTGCATAAAGTGCCCTCATTAGTAATACGCCCTTTTCTCAAGCCAAACAGAATAAAGATGGCCCACGCGTGGGCAAAGATAAGCTTCAATGTCAGTGTAAAATCTCACTTATTATTTTGAGTGTAACACAAGCACTACCTTAGGGAAATTAACATCATCAACGGCAAGTCCAAAGATCTTAAGTCATCGCTTGCCAGTAGTAGATACGAAGTCATTTTTGGCTGCCAATATAAGGACTTGCATTATTTTCAATTATCCAATTCAATTTTTTATTTACGATTCAATTTTTTCATATTTTGGGACAAATCGGTGCTAAATTCTCTTTCCAATCCGACTTAAGAATAATTACCATTAATATATACTTTGATTTCAATATTTAATAACATTTTACGGAATTTTTTCGTATTTTTATTTCGTACGACATTATTTTTTGTATTAAATTAAGATTAAATAATACAACTGTTGTTTGTAATAAATCGCGGACTGTGAGAAACTCTTTCAGTTAAGTAATTTTGAAACACAATTCACTCAGAAGAAATTGTCCTAATAGTGACACATTTTCTTACCCAACACTAGCAGAGAACGGACGTAACACAGAGACACGTCCCATTGTCCGGCAAAAATAGGTCAAAATTACCTAAACATGGGCGGGCAAAGAGTGCATTTTCTGAACCAGTCTTCCTCGTCTTCAACTAATCAACCGTTGTCTCGTAAATATCAACCACTAAATAATTAATTATCCACCATAGAGCAATCAAACAATACTAACAAGTTGATTTATTAACTGGTATAAAATAATAGTATAATTACTGATTATAAAATTACAGTATAATAATAATACTACAACTTTATAATATAATATATAATCAAGGTATAATTTTTGATACATCGATACGGAATTAAACATTGCAATATTCCAATAGAATCTACGTTAACTCACAACATGGGTAAATTGTTCATGTTGTGTTGAGGTATTCCCAATTGCAATCAACCAAGACAATGTACGTTAACTCGTAAATTGGGTACAATTATTAATTTTGTGTTATGGCACTAACCTTACGTCGCATATTAATTACATTTATTGTATTAGTGATGAACACAGATTTTCCTTCAGTTTCAGTCCCCATTGCACGATTCTAGCACATAAATAAAAATGTGTATAAAATATTTATAGATTCACGATTAAACATCAATGGAATACATTTGTGCCATAATAATCATTAATTTATTTCGATGGGATAATATACGTATATTGATATATATAATTTGATAAGGGATAGATACTTTTATTTATTTATTTTATACCTAAGCCTATTTAAAGACAAAAGGAGCAGCTAAGACTCGCCATTGAAATTAAATTTGAATGAAACATACAAACAATAATATAGAACAATAATTTCTGAAACATTTTACCTCGTCATTTTCCGAAAAATTTTCATATAAAGTTTATAGCTACATTCTACCTTTCAATGCAACTCAAAATTAAATTTAAAAAATGAATATATAAATTTTCTTACATTTTTGCAATTCGCACTCGTCTGTTATATGTTCAGTCAGTGCGAGATGAGACAGAATAAAATAGAGTCATCAGCGTCATAAAAATTAAATCTTAATTAAACAATTATGCAGGAAATCATCATTGTTGTATAAAGAACAATAAATTGTAACAATTTGACGCTTATAATTCTACACGAACAAGTTACTTTTCATTACGTAGATGAGAGATCAAAAGGACAAGAATTTGATTCAATACAAACAAAACAAACGGGCTCGTGAATGACCTTATCTGTGATATCAGTGAGCTCAGCCTCTCTGCAAAAAATACATATGCTATTACCCTACCGAGTAGCAGAATCACACAGAGCTTTCCTTGTTATCTGTTTTTCTATGGTGACAAGAATTAGCAACAGGTGATGCCTCCTCATGGCTGCTTGATTGGCACATGTAATCTTCTCTGAACGGCGGCGGCGGGTCAGGTAAGTTGTGCAACAGATCCTGTTGACTCAGTCTCATCTGCAGCTGAGACTGCGACTGTTGCCCGCCACGCCAGTCGTTGTAACGACTAGCCTGGTGTCAGCAAATGGAGGAAAATTAGGCAAGAAAACGTCTTTTTGGATACTAAATTGTGTAATTTCTTATTGAGGAAGATTCGCATATCACTCGCCAGTAATTCAGATCGGTGTGTCAGCGATTAAACAGTGTGGTTGGCAACTGAGTGCGAATCGAAAAATATATCCATAAAAATGAACAACAAACGTTAATTAATAGCTGTTTCCGGTGGCAGTCATTATGCGATGTTTGTTCTAAGCAAACAAAGGTTCATAAATAGCAGTGTTCGGGGTGCAGTCGTAATGCCATGTAGATCCTTAGTTAAAAATGTTCATTAATACTGAGTTCGGGGTGCAGTCGTTGTGTTGTGTAGGTTCATAAACAAAAATATTCATAAATAGCCGTGTTCGGGGTCTAGTCGTAATACATGTCCACTGAAATTAGGAATATGGGCTAAGGTTAATATAGCAGCACTATGTGATATATAGAGGCACTTGATTGAGAATAACTACGTCATCTCTTGTTCTGAATTTAGAGCGATCAACCATCAGAATTAATTGGCGCTTCGATATCGGTTAAGCACATAAACCAATATATTAACGCTAAGTCTGTTAATCTCAAGATCCATTCATACACAACCGTACGAATGTATGCTACATACTCAGTAAGTGAATGCAGTAGCACTATCCAATTATCAAATGGATCTTAAGGCTATCGAATAGTTTTCCTGTCGTGTGGCAAGTATCGTGTGCCTGTCCGGCACGCCTGAGCTTTGGTGTGTCGTGTAGGCGGCCACTGGTGGTTTAAGCGCGTGGAATACGCCTGAGAATTGAGTAGCGATATGGTATACAATAATTCAACAATTGGTATACAATTATACTCAACACAAGTTGAGTAGAATTGTTCATGTTATGAGGTAGGATTCGCCATTGCAGTCAATGCATATCAACCTTCTATAATTGCGAGAAGCAAGACCTAACTTTTATTATTGAGTGTTGAGAAATTATAATGAAAATGATCCAGTTAATTGATTTATTTTATAAGAATAATTTATGACTAAAATTATATGATTGATTACCTAGTTTATGTGCTTTCACTAATAAATTTCAACTAGGCGAAGACTCAGAAATTTAATCGCAGTAATGATTTTTTAACACGTATTTCTTTACTCAGCTTCGCGTTTGTTTGTTTGTTGTTAACATTGACAACGAAAATTAGCCCACTTCTGATTGCTCTAGAGATCTGAAATTTAGCATGCAGGCTATTTTCGCCTAACAATTTCAGATACAATCATAAAAACTAGCAATTAGAGACCTAAATTAGCTTAATTGAGTAAAGTATATATATAATATATATATATATAGTATGACGTGCGGGCGCTCACGTTATAGACGAGCAGGCGCTGACGCTGCGTATCATCGATACGTACGTCAAGTCATACTTAATCAAATCTTAATCGTTTTTCTTGTGGACTAAAAAGTAGAAAATAAAATACTTAAAAAAACTTTTAAAAAACACGTTTTTCTTGTGGACTAAAAAGTAGAAAATAAATTATGGCTCGCCCCAAAGAAACGTGGGTCGGACTGTACGTTCACCATCAAATTTCCAAAATTCGTGTGTTTTTCGCTTTAATCATAAATCTGCCCGACACACGTTTTTTGGGGCGAGCCATAATTTATTTTCTACTTTTTAGTCCACAAGAAAAACGTGTTTTTTAAATTTTTTAAGTATTTTATTAATGCCTGTAAATGAATACATCAAGAAATAAGACTTAATATAACTTGCTTTTGCAACCATAATATGAAAATCTCTCTACAGAAGCCCATGCGGCCTTTCTTAAAATATTTAACTCGTATTTTAATTAAATTATTTAACTCGTACTGAAGTTATTCCATAAGACTTTCACAATAGAGTTCATCAATAATTGAGAATTATTGGTGGGAGCTTATTCGTCATTTAGCAGGAAAATAATAATGGATTAATGACTGATAATTGGTACTTGCCTGATGTCGGGCGTTGATCCTTTGAGAAATTTCCGGCTCGTTCCTGCCTCTCTGGAAGTCAAAACTTTCGCATGTTTGTTCTGCGGGAATTTGTTGTTTTTGACCAGCTTGATGATGACAATAGTGCTGGGGTTTATTCATTGCACTATTAATTGGTGAACGATAGGTCTGCTGTTGAAACTTGCCCGCTTGGCTGGATCCTGGTCGAGGTAAAGTAGATGAACAATAAAGATCATTTTGTAAGGCAGGTCCAATACCAGGGGAATGTTGTGCGCACTGGGGGCTTGGTATGGGGGATGAGGATGTGGATGAAGGAATTAGGTGAGATGTGGGGCCAGCAGTTGAGGATTTCTGGTAATTTGCATCGGTAATATGACCTCTGAAAAACCTGTTGTCGCACGATGACTGCCGTAACGGTGGCTGTTGGTTTCGTATTCCTGTAAGTGTTATTGGGGCGTTAGACTCGCTGGGCATTGGTGGATGGTATGGTGTACCTGAATATCCCTGTCACTGCAGCTGCCGGTGTGTTGAGATTGCAGTTCATCACAATGTTGGTTAGTCCCACAAGTCCCCAAGGTGGACTCAAGCGACGGCAAGCGTGGGGAAGAACACACCAGCCGTCCTGAGTTATCATCTCCGTCCAGGTTAAGTTGATCTCCTCTCACTCCATGAGTTCTAACTCGGATAGTTATACGAACTATCAATATGATAACAACTATTAGTAGTCCGACTCCAACTCCCAGTGCCACAGGTAGTAGAGCATGAAATCTGCGTTCTGATAGCTTCTGTTTGCTGGAGACTTCCGAGTCTGAAGATGGAGGGAGCAAACTACCCGTAGAACTGCCGGTGTTTGAAACTGAGCCCGCCTGGCCTGGGTTGCGAACCTCGGCTTCCGAAGGACCAACTGCAAGCATAACATCGTTTTTGCATTAACTTCAAAATATTATGCCTGCTGATTGAGCATTAATATTATAGTTTAATATCATTAGTTCTTACTGTATAATAAGTTCCTACTGAATTACCTCAATTACCGATTTGCCTGATCAGTTTTCCTTCGAATAAGAAGAACTCGCGCGATGGATAAAATTATTGTTCGTTATAATTTTTAAAATGCTTCGGAAACCAGTAAAAAAAGGTTAATAGAAAATTTCACTTAATGTCGAGGATCGCCGTATAAATCAAGGCCGGACATTTTGCTTCTATCTTCGAATAAAAACATGAAAAATCCGTTATCGCATTTATATGTCGCACGAAATTTTATGTCATTTTTTTTATTCAACCGTCATAAGAAAACGTTAGTTAATTTAACAATAACACTTGTATTGAGCCTTCTCCACAATTAATTTTAATTATATACGTAGAATGCCAGATTACTACAAATCAAATTATTTAACAAGATTCGTGTTCATTAGTGCTACACATGAAGAATTTTGTTGCTGTCATCAAACAACTCAGTTGCTCAGATGTGCCCGTGATGTCAACTGAAAAAAATCTTCAAGACGTTTCTACTTTATTAGCCCCATTCCAGTCATTCTGGGAAGAATCCAACTAATTAGGAGGTTTTCACTCAAGACTTTCTCTCTAAGGGTTTTAGTCCTTAACGTCACTTGCATATCCACAAGGTGTTGGAATATTATTTTCTTTCGTTTATGTTACTGTTTTACCAGCCCTGAAATACATTTTTGACAAACCTTAATATCCAAATTGCTTTACTTGTAATATTCTTCATATATTTTTTCTTTGAAGCGACCTGCATTATCCCCAGAAATTCACTTGCCAGGTTTGTGGTTAAAACCCTCACATATTCGCCATAATCACGTTATTTACTGAACTCCGGAGTCAAATTATCCAGCTTCTCGTTGAGATAAAATTTCAAAAACTCAGACGAAAACATAATTCCGATTACCTCAAAATTTGAATTCCGAGCAAACGCCACTCGAGACGCTGCGTCATGGATGGTCGACTACCTTTTATAAATTGCTTGCGTCAGTTGAGAATATAGCTGCAAGGTCGCTCATTTTACCCTATTAAACAAGGACTCAAGTTTTGAAATAGCCATTAACAATTCGACAATATCCTGGTACTGGTTTTGCTCTAATTTTCAATAGAGCATCAATAGAGCATCAAAGCATCAATAGAGCATCAATAGAGCATCAAAGTCATCAATTCTGCAGCATCAGCAACAGAGGCCGTTGGCGTCTGTTTAACGGCAACGCCGCCGCCTCTAAATCGGTTGAAAAATGCCATCCGAAGTGAAGTAAAAAAGTTAACACGGAACGAACTTCATGGTTTAATATGGAGTGTACCAGCATCAAATGGTCGCCGCGAGACCCTGCCATGCATGACTGTATTTTATTTAGATTTTTACTTATGAAAGTTCAATCTTGCAAAAAAACTGATGGTAGGATAAACGAATTAGTAAGTAACTGATCGTATTCAAGGTGAAATGAGAAGCTTCTCGTTCAGAACGTGAGTATATTCGATACCTATTAAAGTTTTAATCCCGAAGGGCTTCACAAACGAATTATGACAATACTCATTCTATTAAAAACCTATAAACCTTTTAACTTCGAAATTTGTTGTTGTTTCAAGATTCCTCAAATTTAAACCGTACACACATGAACACACCCAAGTAAATTGATACGTCATTAACTGCAAGCTTGAACTTATCACTGCCACTGCCGAATTTTATATTTTCTCAACACATAAACCTTCAAGGCAATTAAATTTCGGATCGAGTTTATTTTTTTTAAATTGTGTAGCAACATCCCGCCTGACTTCTTGAATCAGACCACTTAAGAAACAGTTCATTTTTGTGTTAACTTTGTCATAGCCGTTTTACTCCTTGTCAGTTCATCACCAGCCCTTGCACCTGTTAACAATAAACTTGCCTCGCACCTTACTCCAGCCTCTCCCTAGCCTCTGAGTGTCTTGAAAACCTTTATTCCCGCATTATCAGCTCAATCTTTACACTGGTGACCCCAGAGTGACCCGAACACATACCTTCTGATCTGGAGCCGATCTGGAGCAATGCCGTGCTCATTGCGTCGAGTGTAGACCACTAAGTGGATAAAGCTGTGCTCATTGCGTCGAGTGTAGACCACTAAGTGGACAAAGCTGTGCTCATTGCGTCGAGTGTAGACCACTAAGTGGACAAAGCTGTGCTCATTGCGTCGAGTGTAGACCACTAAGTGGACAAAGCTGTGCTCATTGCGTCGAGTGTAGACCAGTCTCTTATACACATCTAGATGTGTATAAGAGACAGGAGTACTGCAGACCGCTGGACAAACTATCCAGCTGCAAGAACAGAATCAATGGTTTTAAAACGGATTAAATGGATTTCCACTGAGTACTGCAGACCGCTGGACAAACTATCCAGCTGCAAGAATAGAATCAATGGTTTTAAAACGGATTGCCAGATGGCCTAAAAACGGTCATGGCTCAAACGGTCAAGTTCGCTGACATGATTATACGTTTGTATGTTTATGTTAATCATCTTGAATGATTATTTAATTGATATATTCCCATTTAATAAAAATCTGTCATCAACTGTGCAATAATCTATTTAAAAAGATGATTATAACAGAAAGCCCAGATGATTATAACAGAAATCTCACGAATCTTGTTAGGTATAAAACCGATTATTGAGTATCACAAAACAGACTACTGACACCAAGTTGGCTTGCTTAGGCCATTTTTGTTATATGAAGCCAATTAAATATTACTCAAGTGACTGACCAGGAACTCCGGCGAGGCTGCGGTGACATTAGAACCGATTATTGAGTATCACAAAACTGACTATTGATACCAAGTTGACTTGCTTAGGCCATTTTTGTTAGATCAAGCCAGTAATTAAATATTACTCAAGTGACTGACCAGGAACTCCGGCGAGGCTGCGGTGAGGTTGACGACGGGAGAGTTAGGCAGGCCGGTGGAGGCCCTGAGGTGGAAGGCTGCTTCTGAACCCCCGTCCTCGCCCGCCATGCACACGATGCGCAGCGTCGTGCGCATACCGCGCGCAACCGTGCAGTTAGACGGCGATTCTGGCTTCCCTGCACTCAAAAAACCGCGAAATTTTCTAATAACGAGGCAAATTGTGTGCCATTAGAGTGTGAATTTGTGGGAATAGCAGGCAAATGCACGTGAAAATAAAACTTGGAAGCGCCAAACTTTGGTTTTATTTGGGCAACAGGAATGTGATGTCAAATCTAGTCGACAATTTGTTGTTTTAACTTGCATCCAAATAATCTAATGGTATTACTTTATTTCGTTTGTAATGAAATATAAAAAAGCGGGCGCTTATTTTTCTAAGCAGGCTGCACCGAATCTTGAACAATTGAATCCTTCAGCACTGAATAAAATAACTTTCAAATCAAATCAATATTTTAGTAGGTACTATTCATTCAAGAGGGCTATCGATAAGCACAAGGAAGCTAGTAAAACAATATGAGTTAACTTTTCTAAGTAGCCATATTTTTAGATCAGCCGTGATGTCGTGGACATTTAAATGTGAGATACAAGTGTCCAGGCAACTGAATATCGGCACGCCTTTGGAAAATGTGCAATTAATCTCAAAGTATATAGTCATTTTAGGCCTGTTCTTAAATCAACATTTCTTCACGAAATTTTATTGGATTCCTTTCTTGATTTTCCAGTGTTTGTTGATACAAACTCACACAGAATATTAGTTCTTTGCGAGGGTGACAAAAAGGATTGATCTGGTTCAACTGGTTCAGTGACCACGATCAACTGAAGGAATGAATGCAAGCAGCGTTGAAATTGAATGTCAAACTAATATCGACTAATAATAAAAGTACAAAAACTAAACAACTATGCAATAATAACTAAACTAATAGTACAATTTTAACTATAGTCAGGAAGGCAAAATGTTTAAAGAAATACGAAATGAGCCACACAGACTATTGAAAATCTCGAATTATATGCTTCCATTCTGTAAAGTTTGATGAAATATTGGCAAAAAATACGTATGTATTCGAATACATCGTCCTTGTGCAGCTCGAATGGAAGGTATCAATTTCACAGAACATAAATGTTTCTTCATGGAAATGTACGTCGTTTTTAATTGCATTGAGCGTCATGTACGTTGATTGAGTGCGCAGTATTCAGTTTTATTAATTCAACAAAGCGATGTTACGGCAATTCCTTCGCTATTTATGCTCCCGAAGTGAAAGGTTTACGAGTGAATACTGAGCAGTTTTAATTAAACAGAGCTCGGAGAATTTAATGCATTACAAGTTTCTTGATATTGACAGTCAATCTGTGTATACATCGCATAGGAGCTGTAAACTGACGTATGTAGAAGAGAAATTATTCAACTTTAAATATTTGTTATTCAATTTGTTGATATCATGTTTATAGAAGAAGTTTCAGTTTCAGGATTAATATTTAACATGAATATTTACCAATATTTACACAGATTTTCCATCAATTTTAAAAATTGGAAAACCAACTACGTTGTATTTTACGGTGGATATTACAAGGGAAACACGGATGCATGGTTACAAATAACTTTTCATGACAAATTATGAGTCAAAAAATGAAAGGGAAATAACTTCTGTTGTCTTCTCATCAGCACGAGTAAACTATTCTGTCTTTTGGAGTGAATTAAAGTGAATAATGAATAATCATTGAGTTCCTCAGTCGCATTCTATTGATTCACGATTCTCCCCGACTATATAGTTCAGCAAAGCAGTCCTCGATGATCACTATACAGACGACCAGAATATAAAATATCGGTACATTTTTCTGCTTACGAATAATATAACGTTTTCATCCGTTAGAAATTGATTTCAGTAATCGCTTGTGCTTTATATATTGGCCATATTGTGAATGGACACTGGATGCCTTGCGCAGGTACACCCAAAAAACTATATATTTCAGTGTAATTCGTGCACGCATTCATTTGCGTTGTGCTGGCTATTGCGGTGGCTATTATCAGTTGATATTTCTATGATGACAATGCAAAAAAATAATCGAAAAAGCAAGATACATACACATATGTTACCTATGATGCTTAGATGTCATGTCTATTTTTAAACTCATGTTCTTCATTATTATATGCGGTTATATTAAATTTTAGTCTGATTTATCATTTCCAATGTTTGTTGTCCTCCGAATAAATCACATGGCAGTAATTTTGCTACAATAAAATAAAGAATAATGTAGCAAAAATATTAATATTCTCGAACTTTGTTTTATTTTCAAGTTAACGAGAGGACAGTAATTGATTCACAAGTTACTGTTTAGAATTACGTATTTCATAACGTATTGAAAATGTGACCATGAAATTATGTTGACGACGATTGCTATTTGTCTACTGAAGGTATACGCAACGAAATTGTAATTGCACTTTTTCAAGCAACGATCTATAAAGAGCTCAAACACTCAGACGACTCGATATATTGAAAACTCTGATTTGAGGACCTGTTACATCGCTAGCTCAACTGATGCATGATCTCCTTCAAAATTACAATTGCGAACAAAATTCAAAACAAAAATTTCCTTTGAAGTCGATGGATCTTCCAATAAGTGGGCGCAAATGGTAAAATTTAATAAGTTTCCAGTGCACGAGATGATGTAATTGTGTTACAGGTCAAGGCGGTCTTTTTTACAGCAAATCATTTCGTACAATCAATAAGAACGACGATTTCCAACCAACACTAAGTGCTTTAGCATATACCTTGAATATCGCAATGCTATATGAGTTAAAGATTAGTTTCGCAAATAAGATGAAAATCACTATAGAGAGATCTGATCGCAAGATAAAATTCCTCTTCATTGTACCTTGACATTCGGGAAATATATTTTTTTAAGAATTGACTATGGTTACAATTTGCATCATGTATGATAAATCCACGAATTAATATACCCAAAGTAACACAAGATTTTTCCATGCTATACAGCATACAGCGAAATTTAATACAGGCGCTCAGCAACAGGCCCATTATTATAGAGGCAAACATCCCCACTCACCTGCCGGCACATTATTATAGAGACGAACATTCCCACTCACCGGCCGGCACATTATTATAGAGGCAAACATCCCCACTCACCTGCCGGCACATTATTATAGAGGCAAACATTCCCACTCAACTGCCGGCACATTATTATAGAGACAAACATCCCCACTCACCGGCCGGCACATTTATTATAGAGGCAAACATCCCCACTCACCTGCCGGTACATTATTATAGAGACAAACATTCCCACTCACCTGCCGGCACATTATTATAGAGACAAACACCCCACTCACCGGCCGGCACAATGTGGTAGAGGCAAACATTCCCACTCACCGGCCGGCACAATGTGGTAGAGGCAAACATCCCACCCACCGGCCGGCACAATGTGGTAGAGACAAGGCTCCCACTCACCGGCCGGCACAATGGGGTAGAGGCAAACATCCCACTCACCGGTCGGCACAATGTGGTAAAGGCAAACATCCCACTCACCGGCCGGCACAATGTGGCAGAGGCAAACATCCCACTAACCGGCCGGCACAATGTGGTAGAGGCAAACATCCCACTCACCGGCCGGCACA